CCCGTCATAAAAGACGTTCCACAGTGCCGGTCCTAGTACCGACCCCTGCGGAACGCCGCAAGTCACCGGCCTGGGTTCGGAGATGGTGGGCACCAAAAGGGAGCGGTCCGAGAGATAAGATCTCAATATCCCGGACAGGTAGCCCGGGATCCTCTTTTTTCCGAGAGCTGCGTCGATCCGCTCCCACGGCGCGGTGTTGAATGCGTTTCGGACGTCGAGCGAGACGACGACGCACAAGTCCCGCTCCCGCGCCGCTGCCCTCGCCGTCTCCAGTACGGCCCCGATGGCGTCTTCTNATGCTGATTTAGCCGCGTGAGCAGCAGCCTCTCCATCACCTTGCCCGTGGTGCTGAGCAAACTCAGGGGCCTGAAGCTCGACGGGTCGGCGACCGGCTTTCCGGGGCCCTTGTGAAGCAGCACCAGCTTCGCCCTCTTCCAAGCCGCCGGGAAGACCTGTTCCTGGAGGCAGGAGTTGAAGACCCGCAGGAACAGCAGCGGCTTGGCGAGCACCGCACGCCGCAACACCTCGTTCGGTACGCCGTCGGGTCCGGAAGCTTTCCCGGCCGGGAGTCGCCGGGCCGCCTCGAGAAGCTCGGCCGGCGAAAAAGGATCGCCGTCGAGCACCGCTTCTTCGCCGGGATCGTGGGCCCCGCCCTCGTCCCGTTGCCGCGGTTCCGTTGACCAGTCGATCGTGGGGAGCTGCGGGAAGAGATGGTCGGCGATGGCGCCCTCGTGGCCGCGCGCCTCCGCACCCGGTGGGTTCCGCCTTAACTTTTTTGACACCAACTTATAAGGCAGTCCCCACGGGTCGTTGTCGACAGCTGCGCACAGCTTTCGCCATCCCTCCTCTTGTGCCGACCGCACCGCAACGCACAACTCCTTCCTCGCCGCCCGGAACGCTTCTCTCAGCTCACCCTCTTCCTCTTCGCCTCGCTGCCGCCGTCGGTGCCTCTGGTACCGTCTCCTAGAAGCCAGACACGCCCGCCGCATCCGGGCGATGTCTTCGGACCACCAGTGCACCGGTCGCCTACCGCCCGCTTCCGCTGGTCTCCTGGGCATTGACGCGTCGCACGCCTCCGTCAAGTAGTCGGAGAGCAGAACGGCCGCCTCTTCGGCGGCGACGTTCTCCGGTAGCTCCGGCTGCCGCACGTCGAGAAAATTGGCCAGTCTCGCCGGATCCAGTTTCCGGCAACACCAGCCCGGCGGTCGATTTTCCCGACTAACGCGGCCGCTCTCCACCGCCCGTTCGCGCGATTGACCACCAGTAATCAAATCGTAGTATATGTACTGGTGGTCGCTGTCGCTGAAGGTCTCCAGCACCCTCCAGTCGGAGACCCTCGACGAGTCTCGCAGCCGCGCGAACGTGACGTCGATGACGGATTCGGACCCCGCTCGCCGGAACGTCGGGCTATCCCCGACGTTGGAGACGACGAGACGGAGGTCCGCTGCCCATTCGACCAGCATCCTGCCCCGGGCGTCCTCGAGCGCAGAGCCCCAGTCTCCCGACTTGGCGTTGAAATCGCCACCCACGACGATGTCCGTGTCGTGAGTGACGTTCCGGAGAGACGCCTCCAGTCTCCCCAGCCGCTCCCCGAACTCGGCGATGGAGCAGTTCGGCGACAGATAGCAACTGTAGAAGGTGACGTCGCCTAGCCGCATCCACGCGAATCCGGGGCCGGACCCCTTGGCGACGGCGTGTAGGGCGGCCGACGCCGTCAGGAGCACTGCGCAGTCGCGATCGTTGGACGACACCTTCCTCTCGTCGTCCGGGGAGCTCCTGGGCATCTCGGACGTCAGTAGGACCTGCGCTCCCATTTCGGCAGACGTGGCGTGGAGGAGGTTCAGCGCCAGGCCGCTCCGGTGGAGGTTGATCTGTAATACGCGGATCATTTAGCGATTGTTCCGCACTCCACGGAGCCTGGCGTGACCCGTAGGACTTCGCCGAACGACGCCTTCTCTTCAGCCGTGGCCGTACACGCCGAGGCCTGGTGCCCGCAATGGCCGCAACTCCAACAACACCTCGCCCTGTCGGGACCTGTGCACGCCCTGGACAGGTGCCCAAACGCCAGACATCGGAAACACCGGGTCGACATCGTGCGCTCCCGGACCCGGCAGCTAACCATGCCGACCCTTATGCGTCCGACCGACAGGAGCTTCCGCGCGACTGCCACCGGAGCGGAGATGGTGGCGGCCTGGGTACCGCCGAACTGGCTTCTCAGCCCCAGCACGCGGGCCGAGTCCCTCTCGACCCCCGCGGCGCCCGCCACTGCCTCGAGGATTTCCTCCGTGGTCGCCCACTGGTCGAGGTCCCTCACCTCGACGGCTTGTCTGGCCTCGACAGACCGCACCGCGACGCCATCGCCCGCCGACCTGGCGACCTCCGCCCTGACCGATTCGACTGACGCCGTATCGCCCCGGACTTCAATGAGCAAGCCGCCTGCCTTCGCCTGCCGCATGCAGACGACGTGGTCACCGATGACATCGCGGTCGGCACCCTGCCGGATCTTCTTCGCCAGAGCCGGGAAATCCTCGCGGCTGACGTCGACCAGAATGGCCGGGGGCCGGGACCTTATCGCCCTCCTTGTCGGTTCCGCCGGGAAGTCGTCCGGCCCAACATCAACCATTATAGCTGGAGGGCGCGTCCTCGACGACTTGGTGATCTTCTGCCGCTGCTGCTGCTCACCGCCTAGAGATGTCTTCACGCCTCCTTCCCTTTTGGATTTCCTCCCTGCCACTGTAGACCAGCTTCCTCCGGCCTCATCCCTTGCGATCGCATCCGTGCGTAACTGCCCAACCTCCTCTTCCAACGACTTAAGCCCTTCCATGACGCAGTCCACTGGGCATACCTCGCGTCTGGCAGTTTGCCCCTTCTCCAGACGTGCTACCGCAGCCCGCTGCTCCGCTAGCTCCACTCCTAAAGCGTTTACCGCCAGGAGTACCTCCTTACCCTTCTCCTCGGGTACTAAGGTCTTCAACTTTTCCGCCTGCTGCTGTTGAGTTATCTGAACTTCGCGGATCGCCGCCATCATCCTATTCTGGTGCACCATCAACTGCTGCTGACCGCTATGGACGCGCTGCTCCACTAAATCCGGAGACCTAACCATACCTATGGCCTTTGCACCATTATAGAGGTCTCTGATGGCAATTCCCAGCGACCTGGCAATCATTTTAATATCGCTCTTAGTGTTTGATGCCCCCTGAATGGCGCACTCGAGTGCATCCAGCTGCCTCAACGTTTCTTCCATATTTCTGTCGTACGCTGCCTCTGCCCGCGCCCTCCTATCTGTCTTCGACCCCTTAACTTCTGACTTTGCATCTTCGGTGACTCGCTCCTTGAGGCCCTCAAGGTCCTCCTGCCCTTTCTTGGTCACCCCCGGAGTAGGTGGCGTCCTTGAGATGGACATTACGATAGATCTTCAATCTTTGGTTATTCCAAAATTCAAAATCTTTTTGGGGGGGGGGGGGGGGTGCGAATCGCCCGCCCCTTGTCCCGAAGGCGGTCGCGCCGAGCGAGCGCACTTTTGGGATTTCCCCTCTCGGGGGGTAGGGGGGGGTAAACCGCCCAGTTGACGGGGGCAACTCCCCACGGACGCTGGTGGCGGATCAAGCTTGCTACGACCTTTGGACTCGAAGAAATCGAGAAACCTAACCTAACCTAACCTAACCTAACCTAACCTAACCTAACCTAACCTAACCTAACCTAACCTAACCTAACCTAACCTAACCTAACCTAACCTAACCTAACCTAAACCTAAAGTTCGGTAAGTGACGTCACACTGTAGCACGTGTACCTATCGCTACCTAGATTTCGGCGCACTGAAATCGCGATTTCTCAGCCGTTAGTGGGCCGATCGGCCCGGGGCCTGTTGAGGGGGGTTTGTTGGACCCTCCCGCAACTTTTGAGACCCCGCGCGAGCAGATCGGTGACCAAAAAATAAATAACTCACGTGCCGCCTGGGCGGAGCGGTGTTTTTGCACTTACCGGAATCTTGATCCCGGGATATCTNTTTTGAGATCCCGCGCGAGCAGATCGGTGACCAAAAAATAAATAACTCACGTGCCGCCTGGGCGGAGCGGTGTTTTTGCACTTACCGGAATCTTGATCCCGGGATATCTCCGCTTCTGTTGAGGCGATTTCCGCGCGCGAAGTATTGGAAGACGCACTGGGCGTAGCCGGAAATTCCGGTACCTCACTTGCACTGATCAGTACAATATAACTCCGTCAGAAAATAAAGATCACGGGAGCGTCGCAAAATCGATGTTGTCGCTATGACTCCAATAGCACGACTAACCTAAACCTAACCTAACCTAACCTAACCTAACCTAACCTAACCTAACCTAACCTAACCTAACCTAACCTAACCANCTTACCGGAAACTTTGTCCCGGGATATCTCCGCTTCTGGTAAGGCGATTTCCGCGCGCGAAGTATTGGAAGACGCACTGGGCGTAGCCGGAAATTCCGGTACCACACTTGAACTGATCAGTACAATATAGCTCCGTCAGAAAATAAAGATCCCGGGAGCGTCGCAAAATCGATGTTGTCGCTATGACTCCAACCTAACCTAACCTAACCTAACCTAACCTAACCTAACCTAACCTAACCTAACCTAACCTAACCTAACCTAACCTAACCTTTTTTTTTTTTTTTTTTTTTTTTTTTTTTTTTTTTTTTTTTTGAACCGCAGACTGAGGGAGGGACTGCTTTCGCATTACTTCTCCCTCAGCCCACATCGTTTATTTGTGCAAAACAACATAACAACTAATAATTAAAAAAATCCCGTTTACCCCTGCGGCGGGGCGGGCTCACAATTTAATACAACAACACCGGATAGTACAATAAAAACAAACAAATATAGG